GTGCCAATCCAGGAAATTTGTCCCAGACAATTTTTCCTTATCTAGGATGGATCGCAAAATATTGTTCGATGTGTTTGTTGTCATGGTAATCTACAAGAGAAATATGAAAATATAAGTATCATTAAAACAACATATTTAATTAGGCCTTTAATCAAATATGCTCCCACTATTTTATTCAAAACAAATGACCCTCATCATTTGATTCGGAAAATCCCGTTGGAAGACTTTCTAGTGGGTCGAGATCCATGTTTCACTTTGTTTTAAGTCAGCGTTAGGCTGATTACACAAAACTAAGTTATTTAGGTAGGAACTCCTTCCAATTGTATCTCATACAACTCTCGAATATTTTCAATTGGGTGAATAACTCCTTATTCTGATCCATCACATGAATCATTCCCAATTCTTGCTTCTAAACATATATAATCTTATTATAATTTGTTTAGTTAAGTTTGACCCATGGTTTTAGCAATTGGATATTACAATTATCCCATCACACCTTATTAATATAGAACATGCACCTCGCGTAGGCGAAACCTACAATGCTCGATACTAGTCTTGATGAGTGCTAAAAATTGGAAAGCATAAACTTAATATTTATTTTTGAGGGAATTTGTTATTAGTTTGATCTCACCGGCTTAACATGCAAAACGTCTCTCACATGCATCAACATACAATTACATGCATCAACATACATATAAAAAGATACAATTATGGCCCCTAACGCAATTGTTCTCTCAAGCCAATGAGAGAACCTAAGCTAACCTAATAACGATCTAAGCTTCTCCAAGCATGATCTCCAAGGTTATCCTCCTTTAATATTGAATACTTCCTCCTCCTTTTTTTTTTCATAACATAATATTACATTACATATAGGAAAACTCGTTTTACATACGAGGGAGTGAGATGAGAAAAGAAGTTACATAAAGAGATTGAGAGAGAGGCACGACACGCAGGCCGTATTCAAAAATCCCAAAATAATAATAAAGGAAAAACTAAGGCCATAACTGATCACCACAAATAAATAATAATAAACACACTTTTATTATTAGTTTAAAATTCCGATAATTAAATAAACTAAATTAAATTTCGGCTGATTGATCACACTTTGCAGACTTAGCCGGGGGTTCCGCTGCCCGGTCAGCGGACGGTGGTTCCTGCACAACTTCATTGTATTTCACGTCGTTTCCTGCACAACTTTTGTGCATTTACAACCCCAACCGGAAAAGTCTGCGGCAATACAACACTTGTACTGCCATTAATCCTAATGCAACAATTTCATGCCGTCAAACACAACTCGATTGATAACTCAATATGATAGATCAATATGTCATTGCTTCACCATACTAATGTCGGATTCCGAAGCGAATGAAAGTGATGATCTTTCAAAAGAATTACAATCCTTATGTGATTGAATGGATGAAATCAAAACAGTATATCCCATATACCATCTTTGCATCAGAATTTCTTATATCTTATATAAAAGTGATCGATCTAATTGTGTAACCTATGGATGATCAATGTATCGCACAACTTCACCATACTAATGTCGGATTCCGAAGCATAATCAACATCAATCATCCAAATCGTACACAACAGATGCCAAATTTAATTAATCGTTTATTGTTAAATTCATTATGTGTTTTAATCGAATCAAATACAGAAAAGACGGAAATTTAACAGCTATCAGATCCATGGTTTCGTAAGTGGCTCTGATACCACTGAAGGAAAATTGCGATCTAAACGCAGCGGAAAACAAAAATTTCCTTTAGTGATCCTTACGAATGAGCATGGTCAGTGATAGAATCGTTACCTCTTTGTGGCGATTCAGATCTTTGATGCAGCGATCACAAGCGTTGATGAAGTGCAACGCCTCTACTCAGTCCACACGAACAGCTTCCGGTCACAGTGCTAGCTGCTTACGAACGGAATTATTTGAGTGAGAAAAGAGAATCAAAACGAAATTGCATCAAGTGAAAGCTTCATCACAAGGGTTCCTTTTATAGACTCTCTTGTGGGATGCGGGCTAAAACCCAATTCACATGATCCATAATAATATTATATATTATTATAATAACTATTATTATAATAAATATATTTATTTTATTATTATTTTATAACCATTATAAAATAACAATAATTATTATTATATTATCCGAATTTCTATTTTTCACTTAAGTGCACCGTACCTTACGGTGTTCCTTTGATTTCTCTATCTCTCATCAAACTGTCCTTATGTGTGTGACCCTGTAGGATTTCGTAACGTTGGTAATTATATTAAATTATATATATTTAACATAATAAACAGTAAGCGGTATCTAGCAACACATCACTGCTACCCAAGTCACGAAAATGTCATGTGATCTGACAAAACCTTTTTCGTGATAATATATGTTTGTACAATTACCCTTTTGCCCCTATGTCTATATTGAACACAAGGCATACACTGTGTCATCCTTGTCCAGTTCAATATTGGGCCCTTAGACATTTCTCCTGTTATGCAGGATTGGCAAATTCCATCTAGGACACTCATGTCCCTCAGCATGCTTCGTGGAGTGCCCATCAACTGTCTTTATGATCATCCAGTTACGGATAATGTTTGATCAGCAATAAAGCACCCGACTCTACATCTAGGGTCCATAGTGGTTTCAGGTCGAAGGGTGGTAATACACCATTATCACCATGAGAATAACTTATGACACTTTGCATAACATACTATGTAGTATTCTCATAGCGGGTCAATCCGGTATAAATATTACTCCTAATATTTATACCTATGTCAAGACTTGATAACTCTTTATCCATGATCCATGAGATGTGATCATCAGTCTATCTTCATAATAGTCTCAATGCTTTTAATGTTATCCCACTTTGCAATAAAGCTTGACTACGGATATTTTAAGAATAATGTCTTTATGTTTAATGGGATCTCATGATTAAGTCACACTTAACATTTCATTAAACAGACTAACTATTCTAGGGACTTTATTATTCTGAAAGACAAACATAATAAAGAAATGCCTTTTATTATTAAGCGAATAATCTGATACAAGTACCAAAAAGTATTGGCCTCTAGGGCTTACACCAACAAATGCAACCATTGTTCAAGATGATTATGAATCGTCTGATGTCTTGGTAATTTTGAGAAACAATTCTTGCAAGGAATGGATCATGGATTCATGTTGCAATTGGCACATAACTCCAAATAAAGATGTGTTTGAGGAATTATGTGATAAAGACTGTGGATCAGTTCTACAGGGAAACAACAATGCTTGCAAAATTACAGGTATTGGATTTGTAAGATTCAAGCTCCATGAAGTGTCAATAATGTTATTAACTAGGGTTGGGTATGTACCTGACCTTAAGAGAAATCTAATTTCTCTTTGTGAATTTGACAAGAAAGGTATGTGTTCAAGGGAGATCAAGGTATCTTGAGATTCATGTAGGGTTCAAAGGAAGTCTTGAGAGGTGTGAAGAAGCAAGGCTTGTATACCCTTGAGGCTAAGGTTGTAAGTCGATCAGCAAATTTTGCCTCCACGAAATTTGTGTCGAATACATGATTGTGACACATGAGATTGGGCCATGTCAGTGAAATGGGTCTTATTAAACCGGGGAAATTCAAAGAGATAGAATTTTGCGAACCTTGTCTGTTTGGTTAATCTTGCATAGTGAAGTCTAACAAATGTTAATAAAGAATACGTGAATCCTTTGATTACATTCATGTTAATCTTTGGGGTCCTGCAAGAAATCCTTCACAATTATGTGCAAAGTATTTTCTATCAATAGCTGATGATTATTCCAGAAAGTTATGGGTATTCATCCAGAAGACTAAGAATGAAAATTTTGAAAATTTTATAAGTTGAAAGAATTCGGTCGAAAATCAAACTGTCAGGAAGGTCAAGAGGTTGATAACCGATAACGACCTTGAGTTCAACAATGAAGCTTTCAACAATTATTGTAGTATGTTTGGTATTACAAGACACAAGACTATTGCGAGTACTCCTCAGCAAAATAGCATGGCTGAGAGATTCAATCGAACAATCCTGGAAAGGGTTATATGCATGTTGGTTGTACTGGAGTAAAGAAGGTGTTTTGGGAAAAGGGTGTCTAGCGAGAAAATTTAAAATTAAATTATTGATTAACTTAACTTATAAAACAACTATCCAAATCCACAATACATCAAAAAAGATTATATCTTGTTGTTGAATAGAAAACTAAAACTAACTATATTTATTTATATTAATACTCAAATTTTATTTTCTTCCTACTAACCAATACAAAACTTAAATGAATATACTATTTGACCCAACACGACAATCTGATATGACGATTAAGCGATAGCGATTTTAACCTCTTACCCTTATATACCCTATATAAGCTTATCCTTAGGCTCTTATATCTTTTCACTTTCACTCTAAATTGTTTTTCAAATACTTCATTGACTTCATTTAGCCATGTTGGAAACATTCACCGATGCACCGAAAGACATCGCTACAATATAATCTCGTTCCTTATTCCTACTAGCACACGGAACAGTATGGAATAAAAACTTATATCCCTTATACAGAGTCTATCATATTTCTACCAAGTTAATTATGTGGACTAATTCTTTATTCTTCATTTGAACTTAGATACTATGTTAAACATTAATTATATGCAGCCTATCACTTTTATCCAACAATATCACTATTTAAGAAACAACTTTAGTCAAACCTGAACTACTCCGAAAACACTTTTCTTTCATCAACTAGACAAGAAACTTGAAATCTATTTAATATATCTCTGAAAGGTCAATTTCATAGTACATTTTATGAAGTAAAAATTTTGTAATAAATGTTCAATTGGACAATAATTATCCACTCTTTCAAGTTTTCAACTGCACCATACTATAGAACAACCTGCCAAACTACTAGTATCAATCAAATTTGCACACTCTTCCTAAGATTAAATGTGGAATTCAATTAAATTAAATTAAACTAAATTCCTCAAACAATTTTCTTCTGCTAACTTGTTTTCCCAACAGTTTCCACTTTAGGCACATGAACAGGAAACTCATGAATCTCATCCATCCATGGATTCTTCTCCTTAGCAGGATCAACGGTCCTCAACGCGCGCCACACAGCACTATTACACTTAAATCCAGAACCAAATGCAATTTGCCATGTTCTATCACCTTTTCTAATTCTACCTTTAGATTCAGTGTAAGCCAATTCATACCACAATGAACTACTAGAAGTGTTACCAAATCTATAAAGTGTCATCCTTGATGGCTCCATATGCCAATCACTAAGATCAAGATTTTTCTCTAATTCATCCAGAACAGCTCTTCCACCAGCATGAATGCAAAAATGCTCAAAAGCTAACTTAAAATCAGGAATGTAGGGTTTTATTTTCATCTTGAAGGCTTTTCTTGCAACCAAAGTCGCGAAAAACAGAAGCTGTTCCGACATAGGTAGGACTAATGGACCAAGTGTTGTGATGTTTGTTTTAAGTGCTTCTCCGGCGACTGCCATTAGATCTTTTGAGAGTGATACACCGACTGATCTCTTCTCGTCTTCTTCTTGAAAGACGCAGCCGTAGGATTTGTCGTCTGCGCCTTTGTGAGTCCGGACGGTGTGGATCAGTTGGTATTTGGCTCTTTTGCTGTCAGATGGTTTGTTGGAGAGGAGAATTGCGGATCCTCCCATTCTGAAGAGACAGTTTGAGACTAACATTGATCTGTTGTTGCCAAAATACCAGTTGAGTGTGATATTCTCCATGCTTACCACTAAGGCATAAGAGTTTGGATGAACCTACACATATAACAAAAGTACTATCAATAAATAATTTTTAGTAAATTAAAACTATAAGTTTAAATTAATGAGTAATGATTAGTGAATTGTTAATTTTTCAATGATTCATTTATGGTTCCTCAGTTGTAGATGTGGACAACTTGCACTGAATTTGCAGACCTAAAAGGGTCAATACTTTTGGTATAATGTCTATAGTTTGGAGCTGTATTAAATAGGGTGCCTAAAATTTAATGTTACAGCTGCAAGTAACATGGACAAGCTGGACATGTGTGTGGACAACTAGGGTAAAAGATAATTGCTTTTTAAAATTTGAAATTTTTGCATCTATAATTGATTCTTACTTTAAACTAGAATATTAAATTTTTGTATATATATATATATATATATATATATATATATATATATATATATATATATATATATATATATATATATATATATATATGTGTAAAGTCGAACTCAAATCTGAGATACTGCATCTACGAAGTATTGTCTGCTCGGCTGTATCCTATAAAAAAAATGTCTCGTCGAGTTGAAGTGTAAGAATTTTTATATATAAACCATCTTTAATCTCGATTCCCAAACTATTTTGACCAGCCCGGAACATAAACCCTAAACTACTGTACATTCAAATGACTTTTAATCAGAATCAATTTTGTACTGTTCATTCATTCAAAATGATCATCAGCTTAAACAATAATATATGAAGAAAGAGTTGAAAACTAAAATTGTGAAAGAATAGAAAAGCATGCAAAACTAACCTGAAGAAGCTGCTTAGCAAGGTCAATAGAGATGAGTCCAGCACTACAGCCCATACCACCAAGATTATAGCTTTGAACATTCCCTCTTAACTTATAATGATTCACAATCATAGCAGAAAGAGAAGGTGTAGGGTTAAACAAACTACAATTCACAACCAAAATCCCAATATCCTTAGCCTTAACTCCAGTTTTCTCCAAAAGCTGATCAATAGCACCAAACATAACCTCCTCAGCTTCTTTCCTTGCTTCAGCCATACTAGGGTTTGGTGGAACAGTCAACAATGCTGGTGGCAAAGAAGTCTTTTGTCCTAAACCAGATCTCTCAAGTATCTTTTTCTGAAAAGCTAAATTCTCATCAGAAAAAGTACCTGTTAACTCAGACCTATTCATGAAAATCTCTCTGGTACATTTATAATCTTGTTTTGGTTTATAACATGCAAAATCAACCAAGTAAACACCTCTAGGACGACTCATGAAATAAAGTGTGACAAGAAACACCATAAGACTAGAACATAGAGTTACTGATATGAGATTGAATTTGAGATTCTCATAAAGCTGAATAACATCATGGTATGAGATTGTTGATAAATGAGCTGAAGCTGCTCCAAAAAGTGGTATGAGTAAAAGGTACATAGCTTTTGAGATTAAGTAATGGTAACCTAGTTTCACATACTTAAGCTTAACTGATATAAGAAAATTCGGAAGTTTTGTTCTTTCTCTTTGAGGTTCAACAGAAACAGTTTGGTTCTTGTGATTTTCCATTATGAGAAGAAAAAAAAGAAGGAAAAGATGAATGTGATGAAAAAATGTGGAAGATGGGAATGTTATAAAGGGTGAAGAGAAGGAGGATAGTTGATACAACTACCCCAACGAACTTTTAATTGTTATCTGTAGGGGCATTGAATAAGCCAACTAGGAAACAGCTTTATTTATTTTATTTATTGCTGTATTTTGCAAAAAAATAATTTGGAAATATTTAAGTTTTTTTTTATTTTTCATTCATTTTAGACAAAAGTACAAAACTGAAATGGCACATGCAAGTATGTTAATTAGTAGGGCGGTGAACAGTAGGCCACTTGGGTTGATATGTGACGTTGGTCATTGGTGAGCTATACTAATAAATGATGATAATTTATGAGGCTATAGGAAATGTGTATGTTTTATTTGTTTTTTTCTATCTTCTTTTCAGTTTTATGGTTCATCAAAGGAAAACCTCTATCTCCTATTACTTGGCTATACATATGCTTCAATGAAAAAAGTTCTAAAGTTCTACAAATAATAAAACATTTAGTTGTATCCGCAAGAATGTTGGTAATTTGGAAAATCAAAAATATGTTAATATATAGTTGGTCTGTTCTCGCAAATCTATTTTGTATTTGTTTTTTCTTCTCATACCTATTTCAAGGCTTCCATAGATATAGGGTCTTGTAGTAGCAATATAAGTTTAATTGTTACTCTGTCTATGATAAGGTGTGCAATATGGCTTTAAATTCTGATATTTAAAAAGTGTGATCCATTTAACTTTACTATTGAGTTAGGTGTTTATAAGCATAGTTCTTCTAACGGAAGACCAATTCTATTGTCTAATCACACGTCTTCTGATTTTGATCTAGTAGTGAGAGTGAACGCTATGAATCATTTCTTCAATATAAGAGTTGCAAGTGGTTAATCCATGAGACTTATGATAGTTCAATTCTTGGCTAAGAGGGTGTTAGATTAATTAGAATGTGTCTTAACAATTATATGTATGACATATTAGAAAATGTAGTAAGCTTGCCCACATGTCTACCATGTGACCTAACTCCTCCTTACTTAAATATTCTTCGTGTTGTTTATGGATTGATGAGTTATTAGGTCGAGGATGTTGGTATTTATGACTTTGATTTATGATATTACAATCTACAGAAAAGATAGACAACACAAGTTTCAAAATGTTAGTTTTAAATGGTTGTGTTTGAATAAAAGATAGATGAAAAATAACATATATAGAATTAGAATTAGTAGAATTCTCAGTATTTGAAGACTTACATAGATTCTGGTTGGCAAGAACTGCAGCAGATTCTTTCTCAACTTCTTTATTCAGTTGTTCGGATTCTTCAACAACTTTTATACTTTGTTCTTCATAAGCTTCAACAATTGTAGACCTCAGAACCCTTCTGGAGACATTAGACTTCTTTGGATGTTTTTCTAAAGATGGAGGAGGAGGATTAGAAGTTCCTTAACTAGACTTCTTTGGATGTTTTTCTAGATATGGAGGAGGAGAATTGGAAGTTTCTTAACTAGACTTTTTTTACCTTCTTTTCCTCTTAAGAGTTACATTAGGAGGGGTTTCTGGCAAGTTGTGGATGTCTTCCCCTGGATCAATACCTGCCTCCAAGAAGCTTTTCAAGTATTCCATCAGAACTTCTAGGGGATCTAGCTTAATGAATACGGGAAAATCATCAATCTCTACCCGTCTGGTAGAAACATATTCCTTGTCCAACACTATAGGGTCCACAACTTCTAAAATCATTAGCATGTTTTTCATATTCCTTCCTCTAAAAGGTTTGCCCACTTCCATGTGGAGATCATCATGAATTCATTTCTTTCAGCTTTGTCACCAACTTACTTTCAACCAAAATGGCAGAAATCAGTCTACCCAAAGGAATCCACTTCCTGAGTTTTCAACCTAAGTTTATTGTTTCCTTGACCATCTCCCTCAGATTTTGAACAGTATAGAGGGAAGATTCATCTTTACTCCTTTGGCCAGATAATACAACATGTATTTTTGGTCATAATTGATGTATTCAATAGAGTTTCCAGCAGGAAGATGATGAATAAACTCCAAAAGAATCTTGGCCCAAATCCTCAACCTAGATCGTAGATTCTTGACGCCTGAACTAGATCCTTCTTGGAAGATGGTAGCCACAACTTCATTTATCTTTTCCCTCTTTTTAACATCTGATAACATCTCTTCCCAGAACCATCATGGTTCAGTAGCTTGGCTATGGATTTTTCAGAGATTTGAAATTTCTCACCCAGAACGCTAGAGAAGACCTAAACATTGGTAGTTTTTGCATGAATCCAAAAATCTTTGACAAGTGCCGAATACACCAAACCTTTTAACCTATTGAAGTAAATTTGCCATCCTTGGATTGCGACATCGTTGGTGAGGTCATGCCCATGTATCTTCAAGTTTTCAAAATCCACAATTGACTCATAGAGAACTTCCAACTCAGTCACGAGAGTAGATAATGAAATTTTAGGAATGTCTTCCATCATAGTAGCTTCTTGTTGAGATTGTTGTTGAACTTGCTCTTATTGTTATTGTTGATTTTGTTGTTGATATTGATCGGTCATGGTTAGGGTTTTAGGATTGGAAAGAGAGTTTTAAAGATAAAAGATTTCAAATGTGGGTTGTGAGAAGTAGTAGCATTGTGTGTGAGAAGTGAGTGCATCATGAGTTTAAATAGAAAAAGTATTGATTAAAAAAATTGAAAGCATGCTAACTGACAAGAGAGGCGAATGAAATGTTTTTCTCTTTTCCCAAGACACGGAGTATCCCAATGGATCACTTCAAACGTTCAGATGGCTAAATGTATGACAATTATCTTACTTTAGAGCCATACATACAACACTTGCTTTCCACCATTAATTTCAAAAAATCTTAGTTCAAAAGAGAGAAATTCCCAGAGAGATTCTGAGTGGGACAATCTGACTTACCTTTGCTTACCTTATCCTTCTCCAGAATTCATGTTTGGTGCTTCTGAGATTTGAATAGCTTTATTCAAGGAAGGTTAGTTTTGTCTATTCACCCATAATCAGATCTTTAGAATGAAATAGTCTTTACTTGAACTTCCTCAAAAGTTCTGAGTTGTCAGCACTTTTTGGTTCTGACTTTTTGCTTTCTTATTGAATACACTAGAAGATATGTCCTCAGAGTCAGAATAGTTAATCTTCAGATATGCAAATTTTAAAACTAGCTTTAACTTTTCATAGTCAAGCCTATCATCAAACTCAATATAAATTGATTCCTCAATAATGTTAGTTTCAGTGTTACATACTTTGTAGCATTTTGAACGAATAAGAGTATCTTAACATGATACATTTTTGAGCTAGAATCAAAATTGTTAGTGTTAAGCATAAATTACATACGTCATATATAAAGAGAAGAAATTCATTACCAATGGTTTATGAACCATTGATATTATCCTTCTGACCTACTTCAGAGCCTACAAAGCCCTTGGGCTTAAGTTTCAAACCTTGGAACATATGCCTTTTTCCCTTTATGTGTTGAAGGCATTCACACTCCAGGTACCATGATTTGTGTTTCAAATTTACTACTCAAGATGTCAGCAACATAAACTATTTCATCTTTTGGTACCCATATCTTTTTGGGTCCTTTGTAGTTAGTTCTCCTAGGGGTCTTACCAACCCAGGATTTATGAGTTGAAATAAGTTATGTGTGTGATCATATGTTGAGTGGGAATACATATCCCTTGGCTTATTCACATTCTCTTTGGGTTTAGGCTTCAACATGGAATTCTTTGGTTTAGTATAACCAATGCCTTTTTTCCGTTTACCAATATTCTATAGATCATTAATGCCATTTTGCTTTTATCTATGTTCTTAGATAGAAATTTTTAAAAAGAAGTTTCATATGTCTTGGAAGCACATTCAGTGTCCATAGGAGCTTCTGAAAGAATTTATTTTTCAAGATTTTCACCATTGCTTTTTAGGGTAGAGTTTTCATTTTCTAAACTACCGACTCTTTCTTTTAAAAGATATTTTCTTTCACCAGTTCACTATGGGATTCAGAATTGATTACATGAATTTGTTTCAGATTCTTGCATTTTGCTGAAGCTTCTGACTCTTTTCAAGAATCGCAACCAAAGATAATTCTAATTCAAAACAAGTGAGATTGGAAAATACCTCGTCATAGTCTGAATCTGATTTAAAATCTGGTCTTGATTATGTTTAAGAGGGGTTGTCCTAAAGTTCCATATAATCTTGTCCTTCTTTAGAGACACTTTCAGATTCAACTTCAGAGTAACCTTCAGATTCATCTTCAGAGTCACCTTCAGATTCTTCTTCTTTAACTTGAAAAGCTTTGATCTATAGAACTACGGGCATGACATTCCTCTAAGGCACATCCAATTCAAGCTCTATCTTATGACTTCTTTGAGTGCTTACAAGCTCTTCTAGAGTTATAGTATTCAGATCCTCTAACACATTTAGTGCTGACATTATTGGCCTCTATTTCTTTGGAAGGCTTCTAGTTGTTTTCTTTACGTGATCTACAGTAGTATAGCCCTTGTTTAAAACATTCAAGCTAGCTATAATAGTTTGAAATCATGATAAAATTTCCTCAACTACTTCATCCTCTTCCATCTTGAAGGTTTCATATCCTGGATTAAATCCAAGGCCTTAGTTTCCTTAACTTGCTTATTTCCTTCATGGGTCACTCTTAAAGAATCAAATATAGACTTAGTAGAGTTTTTATTTGAAATCTTCTTACACTCTGAATAGGAAATGGCATACATCAAAATATTTATGGATCAATGATGATCCTTATGTTGCTCATTCATCCGGTTTCTTTCAAGCCTTACACCATTAGCATCCACATGATTTGTGTGGCCATTTATAACTATATCCCATAAATCTGCATCTTGTCCAAGAAAGAAACTTTCTATTATGTCTTTCGAATATTCAAATGTATCTCCATTAAAAATTGGAGGTTTGGAAAAGGAGTAGTCTTTATCATTGTTTGTATGTACCATTTT